GGAAAGTTGATAAGTGCTAAATTGTACTGATTTTGAGTGTGAATAATTGGCACTTATTGACTTGATTAGTTGGTTTTCCATTAATAATCCCCCATTTTTGTGTATATTTTGTATAGTTTATATTATAGTGTGTAATATGCGTTTTTGTGTACATAGTTTTAAGTTTGACAGTTTTTCATCTGTTTTTATAGGTAATAATGCATGGTTGATGTATGGACCCGTTTGAGTCAAAAGGGATGCTTCAAATGCAGAATTTTGGAGTCAAAATACCGTCATTCATGCTTAGCGCGATTTTTAGCGTGCTGGGAACAGGATGGCAGTAGCTGGAGAATTTTTATTTTCCTAACCGCACTTAGCGCGAGCAGGATAACACTTAGCGCACTTTAAGACGGTTTAAGGGTATTTTAAGTGAGATCGCGTTTAGCGCGATCTAAGGGTGCTTAGGGCGGTCGTAATAAATTTCAGTATTTCTAATTTTATTTTATCTCATTTTTGTAGGTAGTCAAGCAAGGATATTTTGTCATTATTGTATAGAATATTGAATAAGCTTTCCAACGCTTCCGACTGTGCGTCAATCGGAGTTACGGTTTGAAAGTTTTGAAGAAAATAAAAATTATGATTTTGCTGATGACGCTAAGTGGCCTCATATTGCGCTTAGCGCGGTTCGCATCATTTCAGCCCCTATTTAAGTCACTTTTCAGTATTTTTTAGGTTATGTTATTGGAAACATTTAAGCCCAACTTCATCAAACACATTTTGTGAGTATAGTAGCTTAGAAACAACATTGAAGAATGCATCTTGACGATCCGAAGTCGAATCCACTTCAATCGGAGTTAACTGTGAAATTTGTGTTCTTCTTCTCTCTTCTCTTTGTATCATCTATTTGTTAGAGTTTTGTATGTAAATTTATTTTGATTATATGTATATTTATGAATCTGTGTATAAAATCTCTCTTATAACTCTTAATCGATGTCATCTTTGATTTACTATCTATCTCAATAGGTTTGGATTGTTATAGACATATACTTTTCTAACTCGACCTAAGATGAGCGTCTATTGGTTGAGGGAAGCGGTTTAATATTCATATGTTTGTCAGATCTTAATGCTCTATGTTGTTTATTTGCGTGAGACATCACCACCAAGAGAATGCGATTGATCTCTCAACGTTTGCGTTAGACATAACCTCTTGTTGTGAGTGATACATAGGGATTTTGACGAGTGATTTAGGTTGCGTGCATTTAATCCATAAATTTTTTAGTACATGATGAGTAAAACGAAATACAACTCATGACAAATTTTCTCATGTCTTCAGAATGTATTTAATTTCTTGTTTTATATTTTTCTTTTACATCTTACTCTTTAAATTCATTCAAACTCAAGCTTAGAGACATAGAGATTATTGAACGATATTTTTCCCCTCGCACCGATCCCTGTGGAGACGATATAAATTCCTGAGGGAATTCTTCCGAAAATAATTTTTGCTTGCCCCTCCAACAAAATAGTTGATAAGTGTTAAATTGTACTAATTTTGAGTGTAAATAATTGGCACTTATTGGCTTGATTCGTTGATTTTCTGTTAATAATTCCCCATTTTTATGTATATTTTGTATAGTTTACATTATAGTGTGTAATATTCGTTTTTGTGTACATATTGTTGAGTTTGACACTTTTTCATCTATTTAGGTAATAATGCATGGTTGAAGTATTGACCCGTTTGAGCCAAGAGGGATGCTTCAAATGCAGAATTTTGGAGTCAAAATATTGTCAATCGCGCTTAGCGCGATTTTTAGCACGCTGGGAACTGGATGGCAGTAGCTGAAGGATTTTTGTTTTCCAGACCGTGCTTAGCACACTTTAAGGTGGTTTAAGTGTATTTTAACATAGATTGCGCTTAGCGCAATCTTAGGGCGCTTAGCGTTGTTGTAATAAATTTCAATATTTCTAATTTTAGTTTATCACATTTTTGTAGGTAATCAAGCAATGACATTTTTTCATTGTTGTATAAAGCATTGAATAAGATTTCCAACGCTTCCGACCATGCGTCAATCAGAATTACGGTTCGAAAGTTATGAAGAAAATAAGAATTGTGATTTTGTTGATGGCGCTGAGCACACTCAAAGCGTGGTTCGCATCATTTCAGCCCCTATTTAAGTCACTTTTCATTATTTTTAAGGTTATATTATTGGGTACTTTTAAGCTCAACTTCATCAAACACATTCGGTGAGTAGAGTAGCTTAGAAACAACATTGAAGGATACATCTTGACGACCCGAAGTCGAATCCACTTCAATTGGAGTTGACAAACCGTGAGATTTATGTTCTTCTTCTCTCTTCTCTTTTTATCTTCTATTTGTTGGGGTTTTGTATGTATGTTTATCTTAATTGTATGTATATTTATGGATCTTTGTATAAAATCTCTTTTACAACTCTTAATCAATGGCATCTTTGATTTACTATTTATCTCAGTGGGTTTGGATCGTTATAGACATATATTTTTCAAACTCCACGTAAGATGGGCGTCTATTGGCTGTGAAAAGCGGTTTAATATTCACACGTGTGTCAGATCTTAATGCTTCGTGTTGTTTAGTTGTGTGAGACATCACCTCCGAGAGAATGCAGTTGATCTCTCAATGTTTGTGTTAGACATAACCTCTTGTTATGAGTGATACTTGGAAATTTTGACGAGTGATTTAGGTTGCGTGCATTTGATCCTAGACTTTTTAGTACATGATGGATAGAATAAAATACAACTCCTGGCAAATTTTCTCATGTCTTAAGAATGTATCTATTTTCTGGTTTTATGTTTTTCTTTTGCATCTTACTCTTTAAAACCATTCAAACCCAAACTTAGAGACATGGAAATTGTTGAACGAAATTTTTTCCCTCGCACAGATTCCGGTGGAGACGATATAAATCACGGAGAAAATTCTTCCGAAAATAATTTTTAGTTGTCGTTTTACCACTTCAACATGCAGCTTCTAGAATAATTACGCGCGATGTTGCGCAATGCAAGTTATAACGCGTGTGATGGTACCTATTTTGGTCTTTTTCTGATGTGTATCTGATTCGTTTTGACTGCTTTAACAGGGAAAGCTTGGTACGTTTTCAAGGTTCTACAATTTTACACTGCAAGTAACGATTTACAACATCGAAAGGCATATTTGGAGTGCGTTTAAAATCATTGAAGGTCAGTTCTTCAAATGATCTCTTATGTAAACCTCTTATTTTTATTTGATATTGCAATTTGCATTATGAATAGTTAATTCTCTCTAGATTAGGTTTTGTTTGATGAACCTATTTTAATATTGTTGGGACATGTTTTTTATTTGCTATTTCATGAATAATTTGAGTTACAATTCTATTCAATTATACATTGTTCTTAATACTTTTTATGTGAGATACTCTTTTAATATGAATTTGGACACATACAAAATACTGACCATTAGTCTATGTGTCAACCCCCCTCCAATTAGTATTTTCTAAACATTGCACAATATTGCCTTGTTAAATAGCAGTCCTTGTGAATTCGATCTTTTTATTACGGCAACATTATCGATACATATGCCAAGAAGTCATTCCCTTTAACAACCAGTTGTGTGTTATAAACATGTATCTTACAATCCATGTTAGTCTTCTTTTTGAAGACTCATTTGCATCTTATAGGATTAACTCCTTCAGAAGATTATATGAAGGTCCAAACATGATTTGTGTACATGAATTTCATTTTAGATTTCATGGCTTTTCATTTTAGATTTCGTGGCTAGTCCAAACATGATTTGTGTACATGAATTTCATTTTAGATTTCATGGCTTTTCATTTTAGATTTCATGGCTTTTAGCCACTTCTCATACTTATGACCATTAATGACCTCATGTTAGTTCACAAACTCATTTATATTCAGTTATGAGATATCCGTATCTCTTTTGTTATTGATGTATTTTATTTGACCTACATTGACCTTGTTTTACTAGAGCAAGTTTCTCTTCACAATTTTTTTGTGTTTCATGTTCTTGTTCCTCCATGTGTGTCACACTGATTTAGGATTCTTGAAATTATTTAATCTCTAGGATTCTTGAAATTATTTAATCTCTACTTCTCTTCCACTAATTCAATGGTTGTCTTACCTCCTTCAAGATTTCAAATTACAAAATTTTAACACACCTATGTTGTATTGTGACAATCAATCTGCTTAACATATTGATGCAAACTCCTCCTTCTGTGAGAGGACAAAACACAGAATTGGACTGTCAGTTAACGAAAAATTTATTGCAAAAAGTATTTTATCTCTTAGTCACAACAACTATTCTCACAAAGGTTCTTAATCCTACATCTTTACTACCGTTTGTATACAAGATCATCATGCTTAACATTTGTAGTACAGCTTGAGAGACATATTAGTTAGTTGTTAATTAAGTAAACTAATTCCATCTATTCACAAAAGTTTGTTTGGCAATTGTTCACTAGTTAGTTAGGTCGATCAATAGATATAGATTGACCACATTGTACACTTGATATACAATTCAAAACATACAACAATGAACTCATTATTCTCTTTTTACTATATTTTCCATTGCTATTCTCTTTTTACTATGTTTTCCATCCTATTTTCACACAGTGAAAATAAACAAAAATTTATATTCATGTCCCTGTGCCAATTTGTGAGATAACTTTTCCATTGTTCAGTTTTTATTTGGTCATTTCCACCTACTATGATCTGATATAAATTTAGCAGCATACCAGACATTATGCAGTGTAATAGAGACAAGAACAAAAATGTAGAACATAGAATACTACATTTCAGCATTTATCACATGGGTGCATAAGCCCACTTTCCAACCAAGTTCATTTTAGTTTTGAAAATTACAACACCTAATCAACAGGACCAAACATCAAGATTCAGTACTCTTAAGTTGATCACTAACAAGTACTACAAGAGCTAGAGATATTCATGACACATCGAAAACACAGTTTCAAAACTACAAATTTATCACCTGATTCACCTTACTCAGTCTCCTGTTTTACACTTGCGGGTAAGGAAATCGGTTCCATTTCATTACTGACAACGTCTATTCCTATCCCTGAGTTATTTGGTATTACCATGGACTCGGTGTTTTCAGACACTACCATCGACGAACCAGACTGGTTTTCAACCGGAGAATCACTTGAAGATTCCTCGGGGAATCTCGGGACTGAAACATTAGGAAAGTTCAAACGGGCACAAGAACCATACATTGCCCGGGCCGCTTCATCATAAGCAAGAGCAGCACCAATGGCAGTAGAAAAAGTACCTAACCATAACCTACTCCCCCGATTCGGCTCGCGAATTTCAGCAACCCATTTCCCCCAAGTCCTTTGTCTAACACCTCTATAATTACACCGCGAGTTTTCAGGTCCTCCTTTGCCTTTCATACACCCTTTCTTCGATCCCTTCGCCGCAACTTTTCGAACAGGCTTATCTGCGTCATTGCTGGCATCAAGTTGAGCATTATACTCTTTCCATTTTGCCAGTATCTTACCCAGGGACTTAGATCCATCCCCTTTCTCACAAGCTTTCGCCAACATACGCAATAAATGGCACTACACTACATAATAATCAACAACAAAAATCTGAAAAATGTTAACATATCTATCATTGATAATTTCATAACCTCTTTCATAATACAATAATCATCACTCTCATCTAAACATGTTTCTATCAACCCAATTCAGAGTTTTCAACAGTATAACAAAATAAAAACATAGCGTGTGAAAAAAATTGAACCGTCACAAATTCACAGAACATCTTCCTATAAAAAACCAAAAACGAGGAATTATGAAAAGATGGGTTTACCTGAGTGGAGGTGGAGAATGATTCGGTGAAGAGGTGGGTGAAATTGGAAGCGCTCCTTAGAGAGCTTCAAAGATGAAAGAATCAATGTGAATAAGATGGGTGCATATTGGGATGAGGGAAATGATGAAGAAAACAGAGATGTGAGTTTTTTCAAGACAACACGACACCGACAAGGAACTAGGGTTATACTTCTGGAAGCCGCTAACATCGTTTTCGAGACTTGACTTTGTTGTTTGTTTGGTTTTGAAAGGAAAATGAGAGGAAAAAGGTTGAGAGAAAAGAAAGTGGAAGGAAAGATAAGAGGTAGAAAATAGATAGTTTTACACCTATAAAGTTTAATAACTAAACTAATTATTTGAATAAGTTAAGACTTTGTTTAGATATTTTTAAATAAACGGGATAAAATGATCGAGTAGAATAGAGAAGAATTGAATATAGCGAATAAGAAATTATATTTTATTGTTTAAATATTTTATTATAAAGGTGAATAAAGTTTACATTCTGCCTAAATCCAATAGAAAGAATGGAATAGATATCGTAGAAATGTCTTGGAAATTGTGCTTTGAGTGATAAAGAGAAAATTACATATTTTGAAATTGTCAGAAATAAAAAAGGCGAAAAGCATTAAGAATATCGACGGAATCGGTGGCCGATGGCGGCGTTGGGAGCCAAGTTGATGGTCGTCAGACGGTCAGTCAAAATTTGGTGGGTGACGAAGCATATGGCGCCGAAGTCACGATTACAGTGGTCTAGTGACGTCAGAGGTGGGTGTCTGCAGTAGAGCTCTGGGCGGCGACAGTCAACGGACGACACCAAAAGGCAAAATCACTAGTCGATTGTATTGGGAAGCTCGTTAGTATCTAGCATCAGGTTTGCTTTAGTCAGCTCACATGTATCGAGCATGGTTGTTTTGGTTCATGGATTCATTTATTAATGGTTGTGATTTTGTTCTATTAAGGGTCCATTGAGTTTCAAAATTTATAAATATGAATATCTTTCATTATTGTATTTACAACTTTCAAAATTTCAGAGCTGAAGACAAAGAGAAAGGTTATGAGCTCTATTGGGAAATTTAGAAATGTAAGGGTATAAATTTCTTAGAGCTCTTGAAATTTGGAAAACTCTTAGAGGTATCTAAGGATATTGAAAAACATTTCTAAACACAATGTACTTGCGTGATTCATATATAAAGGGAGAGTTTGAGAGATTGAGAAACATTTTTGACGGAGTGACTCTAAACATAAGAGAAAGGTGAATTGTGTTTATTGAAAGATAAAGTTCAATAATATAAGTTTTAATTTTTAAAAATTTTAAGTTAATTTTATAAAACAAATTGAGATTTAGCATCGGGATATTTAGATCAAAGAATATCAAGAGATGAAGAGAAGGAAATGTACCAGAAAGAAATAAGGAACAGAAAGACCAATAGATAAGAGAATAGAGAAATGCACCAGAGATTTATACAGGTTATGCCTAACCACTTTGAAGCTAGAGAAAAATACAAAAAAATGGGGGTTTGAATTGGGTTTTTACCAAATATAAACTTTTAGAACATTCAGCACAAGGTTAACACAAGAATAAGAGTAAGAAGACACAAATATTTTTATCCTGGTTCACTGTTAGCAAAGTTACTCCAGTCCACTTGCCAAGTGATTTTTTCTTAAAAAAGGACATAATCCACTAATCTAGAAAGATTACAACAAATCCACCTAAGTGTTTAAAAAAACACCTTAACTCTCTCAAGTCTACAAACTAACACTAAGTCACTTGAGGAAAATGATATCAAAGAGGATACAAAGAAAGTGTTTACATAGGTGCTTCTTTAAAGTAGATGAAACAAATTTAAGAATAAAATATTACACAAATATGAGCAACAACTCTTTATGTTTTGATAGAATTTCTAGACTTAGCGTATTTTTCTTGTAATATTGATCGTTGTTGTTTTGTCTTTTAGCAATGAGGTAGAGACTTTTTTAGATAGCTGAATGTTTGAACGTTGAAGGGTACAAACGTAAATCTTGATGCCAGCTATTGCAATGGTAATAACAAGACCGTGTGAGATAACAGTGATAAAGTCTCATCGTATCCCATATATCAGTACTGATGTAAAATCAATTTATACCAAAATGGGCATGAACTTTTGTATGGATTCTTTCATCACACGTTTCTGTCTTTGACCTTATCTTTTTATCAACTTTTTCTAAGAGAAGTGATGATGAGTTCAGAAGATAAACGACTGAGTGGTATCAAAGACTTCAGAGTCTTTAGAAGTAATATTTTCAGAGCTTGGTATCAGAGCTGGAAGTGAAACTTTTCTTAGAAGCACATAACTTTCATTTTCTTCAGAAGCATTCAACATTCATCAGAACTGCTGTTGTTTCTTTAGAGACGAACAAAGTAAATTCTTGAGGCGTGTCAGAAGGATTTTGATGAAACTTCTGGAGAGTTATTCAGAATTAATTTAAAGTTAATAACTGCACACTTCAGAAATTCATTAGAGTACCGAATTTTTACATATAAAATATATGCATTGTTATCATCAAAACTTAGAGATTATATGCAGAACCAAAATCTTATTCTAACAATCTCCTCCTTTTTTATAATGACAAAATCATGTATTTTTATGGAAAAATGTGTACGAAAATATATGTAGGAGATATTAGAACTCAGAGAATTATCAGAGTTAAGTTAGAAAACTCCCCATGAGATAAACAAGATCCCCCTGAGTCAGAACATAGTTGTCTTATAATAATCTTATCATCAGAACCTGGTTGACTTATTAAAGCTTGAATTATCAGAACCTTTTGCAATACTTCTATTAGGCTTGATCCATTCAGAAATTTCCTAAAAGAGACATAAATATACTTTGCATATATTAAGGTTAGAATGTAAGCACTGAGATTAGAGAATCAGATATGTATCAAAATCATTACGTATTCTACTCCCCTTTTTTGTCATAATAAAAAAGTCATATTATATTAAAGATGACTCAAAATGACACAAGAGAGAAAAAATAACTTATAACATATCAAAAAGACAAAAAAAGGAAAGCTTAAATGCCTAAGGTTGAGAAGAGGGATGAGGGATCGTCTGCATAAGTTGAGCAAGCATGTTCTGAATGCTGGTGTTGACTTCATCTTGCTTACCGAGTCTAGTTCTAACTTTCTGTTGTTCTCACTGCATCTCTTCCAGAGTTTTCATCATGAGAGGGAAAATGTCAGTGTCAGAAGTGAGCGCTCTATTAGAGCCTTCTACAGTTTCCTTTTCAGCTGCTGTTATTCTAGCTTGTTGTTCTGCAGCTTCCTTCCCAGCAACCTTTTTCTCTGCAGCTTCTCTAGCAGCAGCTTCAACAACTTCTCTTTCAGCAGCCTTCTGAGCTTCTAATCTGTCTTCACCTTCCTTAACAAAGTTATCCTTTACTTGGACACAAAGATTTCTGATTTTATCAAACTCAATAGCTAACCATTTGTTTAAACTATTTCATCTAGTATCCAGATATGAAGGATCGTTGCTAGATTCGGACTGCACATAGAGCTTCTAAACTCTCCTTTTCTGAATTAGCCTTGAAACTATATATTACTTCATCATGGTTTAGGTTAGGAGGTTGAAAAAATGAGGTGTTATGATCAGAGTTTGTTTCTTCATCAGAATCAGATTTCTCAGTAAAGATGTTATTGGATTATGAAGGGGAATTTGTCATGGTTTGATCATCGTTCTGATCAGGTGAGTGTGGGTCAGAAGGTTCATAAGTGAAGGATTGGAATGCTGAAGTGACGTTTGTTGTGGAGATGGAAATAGGTGTGGATTCTAAGGTAGGTATGGGTTTGGAAGTAGTATTTTCAGAAATTGGTTGAGTGATGTTAGTGGGGAAAGTATCTTGAAATACATCATTGGCAGTAGATAAGAAGGCAAAACATAAAAGTGATTTTGATACAGCTGTTGTGGAAATGGTTGTGGGGACAAATATTTTAGGATTTATAGTTGGTATAATTTCAGAATTTATAGTCGTGTTGGGAATGGTTTCAGATGTAGTTGTTATTTGGGAAATAGGTTCAAAATTAGTGGTTGTTGTTTGTAGGGTAGATTGGGGGCAGTTGATTTAGATGGTGTTGGTGGTAATTTGGATTTTTCAGAAGGAGCTGAAGTAGTAGATGGTGAAGGTGGGATGGATGTAGTTGTGAATGTGGTCGAGATAAGTGGAGGAGGTGGAGGTATTGACGAAGTAAGGGTTCTAGTATCTGAACCAAATGCAACAGATTGAGAGCCAAAAGACTTACTAGAATGAGTTAAATAGGAACCCAGTGCAGAAGACTTCTGAAATTCTACATATTCTCCCATATTGAGTTTCTTCTTCTTAGACTTCTTCAAATATGATTCACGTGGTATATTCATCATATTAGGAGGAGCATCTAGAAGATCATCATAGGTGAATCTAGATACATCATGACCTTCATCTTCAAGCATTTTGAGATATTCTTCAATAACTTTTGGTGCATCAACCTTGGTGAAGAGAGGAAATTCATCAATAGCCAACCTTCTATCCTTTAGACTTTCCCAATCCATAGGAATATTTGGTTTAACTAAAACCTTCTCAATGATGCCCATACTCTTGAGATTTCTTCCGTTTAAAGGTGTTCCAGTATCCACTATAATATCATCCATCAATTTCAAACGAATTAAATGATCTACAAGAACACTTTTGATAAAAATGTATAAAGAACTAGTCAGAAGA